TACACAAGGCTCCGCTGTAAACAGTATGTTAAACATTATTTTCCTTGTGTATATATGTCAATGAAATACAATAATAAATAATTATTACACTTCTTAGTCCTTCGAGCGACCTTATATGAGAAATAAAAACGGTTCTTTATACAACCAAAAAGGGATTATTGAATGGTTATTGAAAATTTAATTAGACTTAAATTTCCTTTGTTTAAATACGGTGTAATGCGTGTGTCCGTTCCTATAAAAAGCTACTTTTTAGTCCAAGTGAACTTTACGATTATTTATTGTAAATATGTATATATATATATATATTAATTAGGCCTTTAATAATTTACAGATAGGGCAATGACGTAGGTATAAGTGGATATTTTAAATTTATAATATCACCTGAGACGACGTAATAATCAATATCATACTATGTCCAAAAACATCTGTACTAAGTTGTTTTATGAAATAAAAATCGCATTCAACCTTTTAAATCCCACGACCTTGCAGTCGAAAAGTGCGGTCAGTTTTGCAAAGTTTAATGATTATCGCAAAAACGGTGCATTCTGCGCGCGCGCACGTGTCAACGTACCCAGCTGAGTGCGTGTCATTGGCCAGCGGTTTTTATTGTTTCAATTCGCTCGCTCCATCGATGTAACTTCCATTTTCTACAGAAGGAGTATTTTAATAGTATGATTTAATTAATAGTATAAATGTGTGTTAATATATATCAATATAAAAAAAAACTACAGGCAATTTCTTAGAAATCATTCGTGGTTAAACTTTAATTAATGAATTAAATATCATATTAAGACTTTCTCAAACCAAGTGTATATTAAAAAAAAACATTTTAGTATCTTACTAAGAAAGATCTAGAGTAGAGCCCATTTTGTGTGCTGTAACTTCTTAAAAATAATTATTAAACTACTTATATATCTCTAACAATACCTAGATAATAACTGATTTCATTTTGCCGAAGTCCAACGAACGTTATAACATGTTTAAAAATAGCGTTAGGCGTTCGAAAAGGCGTTGCGCGGGCAGACAATACGAGATTATAGTGTGTATGAAAAGAAAATCGTGTATTGTTGTCTCGGGACGGGGGCAATCACGTAAGTGCCTCCACCTGGCGGATATTTATGCGATGCTCAAGTGTTCTTGCTTTCAATTCGCTGTGCGGTAATTGCTTTTAAATACCTCTCGGTGTGTCATTACACTTTTGCCCTTGCGCCGCTAATATTTATTTAAGTGTGCCACGAAGAAGCTTCCGTCTGTTTTATTTCAGTTGATTGTCTTTGTGTGTTATATGTTATTGTTCCCTCTACTTACTGTCGTTGTTACACAAGGATTTTCTGATGGTTATATGCTTAATATCTTATGTGTTTTTGTAATTGTGGCAAATATTTTACTATGCATTTCTTATATTGATAGCAAATTTGCAAGCAACTGTTATTGGGTCCTCTTAATGGACGATAACATGTGCTAATCATATAACATCTTAAGAAGATGTATAGTCGACCTATTTTTGCCTTGGACATACGGAAATCCACAGATTGTAACTGAAAAGTAGATTTCATCTTTACGGATGTTTTATGTAATGGTTCCTGTCTCGGACGAAATCTCGATATTCCTACAACCTGTTTATTATAAGAAAACGCAAACGATAAGAATCGAACTTATGATTCGTGTATTTGTTAGCTACCGTTGGACTAACCCGAATATTAAATGTGCAAAATAATTCGTGACTCGTGAATTTCATCCGACTAGACAACATTGCACTGTATTTGAAAATACAAGCATCAGAAAACACAACTGGAAATACGATCTTGATGCTTTGAATTTATTTCGGTATTACTTTATGCTCAAAGCGACGGCTCCGGGGACGTCAAGGCGAGCACTAAGTCCCGCTTTCCTCGACTCCCTTACACCGAGTACTCCCGTTCGTTCTGAACTGAAACAAGTGTCTCTTTGTATGCACACTCACAACCCTAGATTAAGCATAGGAGATTAACATTTTTTCATTCACTTTAAAGTAATTAACTTTTTTTGTGTGTACATTACGCTACTTTATTTTATGTCATTAAACTACGCGGACATGTTTTTAAATAATTTCAAGAGAAACTTTTTTTGGTATCTTGAAACGTTTTTGCTGCGTGCGCATCGGAAACCCTCGGAATGTATCTATTCCGTTTTTTTTTTCATATTTCCCGCTGTTTCTTCGCTCCTAATAGTCACATTGCGATGTTTTATTCCTCGTATAACATTCTTGGATATGTGCCCTAACCACCCAAAAATTATTTTTTAAAACAAGTCAGTAGTTCCCGAGATTAGCGCGTTCAAACAAACAAATTCTGCATTCTTAAATGATGTTATAATAAAGGAGAATTATTCATTTTAGAGGTGATGCTACGATCAACCAAAATCTTTATATGTCCAATTTTGATGTGCCTCCAACTGATAAGAGAGTAATTTAAACTTTATCTATGTGATAACTGCGAACAAACTACTCGGTATGAGTACATTCTTAGTATGAGTCACTTGAATCAAGCTGATAAAACGCATCGGAAGATTTAGCCCCGGCTGAAATTAACCAACAAACAGTGCTGGGCTTGAGTGCATTTGCAACCGATTTTAAACTTGGTCAAACAGATTAAAACGAAAACAGCAAAGCCACTTTGCGTCGTAATCAACCCGAGTTGAGAAACTTATGTGGAACTATTAGATTGTGGGTGACGAGAGATATTTTGCTTTTAAATAATACACTTTAACGGTTTAAAACGCGATAATATTTCAAATAGTTAAACTTATTTGAAAATGATTTTTAACTTCGGCCCGACGTTTCGGATGCTTTGCAGCAGCCGTGGTCACGGGGAGACTCTTTTTTTTCTTGAATTTTGGTGACGTGTAAAGCCTGTGTTGCAGCGGTTGAGATCACGAGCGGTTAAAAATTGTTAAATAATATACTACGCGTTTTAAACCGTTTAAAGTATTTTTATGTACTCGGGTAAACTACAGACAGAACTTCGACGACTGTGCAGGAAAAGATTGTGGACCATCACTTAAAGTAATTTTACAATAAAATGACCGCTTTATTTACTGTGGCAAGTAGCTTATAAAGTTTTTTATACATTACTGTACCTTGTCCGACAGAAGTTATTGTTTTCCCGCGATTCAAAACTAGGACCTGTCACTCTCTACGCTCATTTACATTTTTTTTTAATTTTTATTTCACTAAGCATTGAAATTTTACATTAATATTATTTTTTAACATCTGATATCTTGAAGTATAGTTAAGAGGCAAATGAGTATTTTTATAACATGGGCGGTATTTTGCGCTATCAATTCAGTGGACCAACTGTACTTTGTAATATAATAAACGTAAACTTGTAACCAGATACCGACCAGGAGCATAAAGTTCATTATCTGTGTGGAAGTTTTAAGTTTTATATGACAGGTTTTATGTGTTACCGGGACTAGGCAGCTTGTTTGTGCTCACCACCTGATGGGTTTATGGGTGTCTTTGCGAAAAGACGCGTCATCATATTGAAGATTTAAACACTTAAGATTGGCCGTAAAGATGGGGTTATCGCGAGTCTAAGACGCAAGGGAAGTTGTCTAATGGCTCTGCAACTCTTACGCTGTTTTATTAGGCAGCCGTGTTACCCTAGAACGTGCAGGTGATGATTTGATACCTAAAATACATTCGTTTTGACGGTTTAAAACGCATATTATATTAATTATTTACATTTTTTATGTAACTACTGCCCGACGTTTCGGATTCTTTGCAGGAGCTATGGTCACAGGTAGACTTACGTAAATAAGTTGACTAGTCTTTTAAACAGTCAAAAGTGTTTTATTGAAACCCTTAGCTTAATAGAAAACGGATCTTTGTTTATTGATTAAACGGACAATACTTGACGAAATTTTCTAAAATCGTAATATCAATTAAAAACAGTTTTAAAAACCATTAGTGAATTACATAGAATAACAATATTTATCCACCATCTGTAAACTAAATCAAATAAGAGATTACACTAGGGACCTAACTAACTAATCACTTCTGAGTCTTAGCAATAATACTTATAAAGAAAATCTGTAGACGACGCGGCCTCCACAAGGGGGTGAGCAAAATCCACCCTCTGCCCTTTATTGAAGGCATTCATATTGTGAAGAATATACGTGATCAGTTTCAATTGGAGTTATTTATCTTTTTGAATACTAGATGGCACTTTAAAATTATTTAAAGGCGATTTGGGACTGTTCAGTAAGGGTAGGTCTTGTTTTTGTTTAAAGAAATAAAAAAGTTTCTGATTATGTAGAGTTGTTAAAAACATTATAAGTACGTGTTTAGTTATACATAAATTTATATTTTATTGAGTTATATAAGGCGCCAGAGTTAGGATATTAAAATGAAAAAGTAATTATTAAATTACGTCGTACAATAATAATAAATGATAGTTGCCGGCATTCCAATATTTATATACAAAAGCCTTAATTAAACTTTGATAAAAACTAGAGCACGGAAAATATAATTACGCGGGGACAAAGTTATTTCAATAAAATTTGGGCTTAAAAGTACAGTGTAGATGGCAATACAGCTGAAACCGGAGCTGGCACAATTTCAGGTGAATTTTTTACTCATCTCACGGTACACAAAGCAATGCTATTAAAAACTCGATCCGACGTAATCTGTATGTAGTCAAATCAAAATGTCCGGTTTTATTATTTTTCATCCTTCGTCAAATCGTTAACTCTTTATAGCGACTTCCTTAAAATTATATCAGAGTTGTTCGTTTAGTTATATCTATCATATTTTAGGACACAGTTTATACATAATATACCTAATCTTCTGCGTTGAGAAGATCTCAGAAAGAAACAAAATACTTCTTTCTTTTATTGTCACTACAATATCTTTTATAATAACTTTCTGATGTTATTGATTGTTTAAAAAGTCAAGGAAAAAATATGTTCTATAAAATACGGTTAAACGGTAAAAGTGATTATCTGTTTCATTGTTTCAGGTCATCCGTCAAGGCGAGAAAGCGAGTTCAAGAAGCCTGCGCACGCGCCGCAAAATGGCCGAATACACCATCGACCCTACCCTTACAACAAGGTCTGTATACTTGTTATACTTTACAACACAAAATCGTTAATTAAATGTAGCTACACATGATATAGAAAATATTCAATTTAGAAAACTCAAATTCCTCTGTGTTGTAATCCAAAGTAGATTAATATAATAAGAGCAATAACTCCAGATTAAATAGTTTTCACTCATTACAATGTGCTATTGTTTGAAGAACGCTATCTTTGCGTTTTTATAATTAAAACATTGTATCGCGATCTCAACACGGTTTCACAAAATAACTACGTCATAGACCACAAGATGCTATTAAACCGGCGTATTTATTGTAACGAAGTTATCGTTCGCCTTGCTTATAATTTCCTAGTTAACCACTCATTAGGCGTATCCTTGTACCGTGCAGCTAAGGTTTGCCATACACCGACTGCTTGAAGGGTAGCTTCATCATAAAATTCTACGTTAAACGTATTTCGCTGGTGTAATGATAGCGATGTATGGCTAATAATCAACGGGTCATGAATTCGATCCCCACCGGGTCCAACATTTGTCTAATCAGTTTATATTTTTATTGAAACATCTCAAAGTGTTGATATTAAATTGGGTGGTAGATTCCTTGAAATTTCGTCACAAACTACCGCCAAAAATCTGTCAAGTTTAATCGCGTTTCGGTTTCAGTCTGGTGATTTTCGAATATCCAAAGCCAAAATAGGTCGACAGCGCACCTTGTTTAGATATTACATGGCTGGGAAATTCACCTACTATCAAATGAACATTGGGTTCATTCGATTGGCTCGTCAATCCTCCTCTATCATAAAATAAATCATTCCATTATTTGCTTTCGGGTCGACATTTACAGACTCACTTCCGCCAACTCTTCTAGCAGTTTGTAGTGGCAGCTTCGACTCTGACTGCAAAAGCGATCGTGTATGGCGATCCTTACTTCGGTTTTTGCATGCAACGCGGTGAAGCGAATAAATTAACTCCCCGCCGAACTCTTGCCGCGAAACTTTATAAGGAACGCCGTTTACGAACTGATGTTATTAGCTTAGGTTCTGTATGAACTCGGCTATGAATACAGAAGTCTTAATTATCGAGATCACATCAAGTAATAATTCCTTTACTTTAAGCTTTTCAGATATATTTTCTATTGTTGTTGTACAAAAGAAATAGCATTCAATCAAATTGTAGCCCCTGTTGGGTGCCTATATCCCAGCGAAATCTCATTGATAACCTGAACGTCAGTGTAAATAATAACACCTGTGAATCCTTGAAAATTGTCGATTCATAATCGCTTAGCCTTTAAGACCTCTTTGAAATGTGAATGTCACCATGAAACGAACATTTTCTGTTTGTGCAGAACGAAAGCTTAAGCTCAACTGGGTCGACGGTTCATCGGCCGCCACCTCTAAGGATACCCAACGGTTTCCAGCCACAGGTTAGTGTCCATGGAAGATCTTAGCATATGTCTTTAAAACTTAATTAATTAGTCAAACATACTGTCTGTAGTTTACGCGATATTAGTCACGATGGAACAGATGACGCTAGCACAGCAGTTGTTACTTTGACGTCAGAGACATCCTCCATCTTTAGTCTCCCCGTGACCGCGGCTGCTGCAAAGCGTCCAAAACGTCGGGCCATAGCCAAAAGTAATTTTCAAATAAATTTAACTAATATAATTATCGCGTTTTAAACCGTTAAAGTGTTTTTTATATAATTATACTAACATTTTTAATAACCCACACTTTTCCAGTAACAAAAGTTAACAAATACCCCTTCTGAAATTAATTTCGGAGCCCGTTGTAGGTGATGACAAGTTATGAACGAATTTAAATTTAAAAAGCGATCCTATCGCGGCAGATAATTTACGGCATCTTTTTGTTTATACCATAATGCAGAATATTACAAGATCTTTGCAGCAAAACACTTTAAAGCAGGTCAACAAGCCGATGCTATCAATCGGTATTCAGTCATTGATACAAGCCGCTTTTTATATAGATGCAAGCCTCGGGAACAATCCTCTAAAAATCTGAAATTTTCGTCGAATGTTGTGCCTAGCTCCATACAAATCTGACATAATCGGCGACTTATGTCGACATAAATCATATGGGATATATTATTTGAGTATTGCCGTCCCAGGAATATGAACTAGTATTGGCACGATGCCTTACCGGTTGATATTGTTTGCATTATTATTGAGACAACTTCAACTTGCGAACTTCACGCGACGGGATGTGGCGCGTGTGTGCAAACCTGGATTTCGAGTGTATTGACAGATTAGTGGCTCGATTTGTCGATCAACTTTTAATTTGATTTGTTTTGTCGTCGGAACAGATTATTTCTATTGGTGTTTTGTATAAATATCGGTTTAGTTTCTCAAATGAATTAGCATTTAAATTAAACAATTTAATTTAAATTTAAATTAAACGACATTTAACGGTAAACGAAATATAGTATTGTAGTTTGCTTTACCTACAGCCCCACGTTTCGCATGCTTTTCACCAACTGTGGTCCCCCTTGATCACGGCTGCTTCGAAGCTTGCATCACATGTGTACTCACTTAAACTACAGACAATACCGAATAAGCATTGTAAATATTATTGATTAAATTACATAATTTAAGAAAATACATCAATAAATTTATTATATATTTAAAAATACAAAATACGCAATATAAAAAAAATAAAATTCATATGCTCAAGCTAGACTTCCTTATTTTCTATATTACTCTATTAAGTTCTGTACCCGTGTCAGATTTAATTTCAATTATTTCTCTCGCTTGCTTGTTAACTATAATCGAAGCCATGAATACTTCGTCAAGCACAAACGAAAGTATCTCCGATATTCCGACGACACGTGTTGCTCTCAATTCAATTAGTCGTCTCCATAAAAAGCTTAACCACTTTTAAAATAGTTTTGTGTCATGCAGCGCATGTGCCATAGTTTTTTTTATAAACTAGTTTTAATTCGTGTTTCAAAAGTTACCTTTTTAAAGATAGTAGAACCAATAAATGTTGGATTCCAAGATTGAGTGTTCACTTAGTTAAGTATTAAAGTAAAATACAAACAAATAAAATATTTTAAATTAATGCATTACTAAGTTATTATGGTATGCTGTATTATCCCAAGGATTGCAAAAACGAGGTAGACGGATACTATAAATATATTTTTTACAACAAAATGAACAATCATCGTTTGTCGAGGAAAACGCAAGTTCTTTCTTTTCCTCACGTTGCTAACCGCGTGGCTCCTAATAATATCTTACAATTGTTCAGGTAAAGTTCTTTTACGTCAATGGTTTTTTCTTGATTCTTATATCCTTACGATAGCTTTGCTCAGGTCCAATATGTAATTAGGAGATTACGCAATACTTCTCAGAAGTGAAACAACGTACGGGAAAGTTGGAAAGGAAACGTTGGGGTTGTTATTTCTGCAACCCCTTGTTTCCAGTGTATGCCTTCCGTCCTTTAGCACCTTTTTAAAATTATATAGAATCCTTATTCATTTACAGTTGCTTTAAACAGGCATATACATTTTAGCTAAATTATTGTTCATACTAATAAGAAAATCTATTGTATTGCCATAATGACTTCACGTGACCACGGCTGAAAAGCAACCAAAATGTTGGGCCTTATAAACAAATTGAAAAATGTAATTAATAGATTATAATTTTAAACCATTAATAGTGAGTTAAATGTGTACTCGCGTAAACTACAGACGGTATTTAAGTGACTTCACTGTTAATGAGAAAAAAATTAGTCTTATTTTTAACATCTTTTTATCATGATCAACCACAAATACAATCTATTTTAAGAAATACAATAATGTTATAACCTACATAATAAATAATAACATAATGGAAGAACATATATGTTTTGCAGGCAGGCTTAATTAGTTTAAGTAAAGTTACGATTTATTACAGTGTACACCAGAAGGTTTCAAGATGGCAAACTGAAATGTCACCGCCTACGGTCTTTCTCTTATAATAACTTTCCGGTATATTGAGAAATGTAATGTTGGTTGTAGAAGGTCGCGAGTGGGCAGAATATAAGGGGTCGAAGTTTGGGCATTACTGCTATGACTTCTCGCGGTGATAATAAATCTTATTATGTTCTTTTTTTTTCAGAATGCCATCGACAGCAGCAGTCAACCGCCTATAGAAAGTATTTTAAAGGTAAATTGATCTATGCTACTGTCTTATAAGAACATTCTTGAAACAAATAATTAAGTAAATACAAAAATCATTATGATTAATAAATTCTTAAATAATTTTTACAATAGTCAAATGATCATTGGAATATATTTACTCTATTTCAAAATTATATTTAATTTATAATATAAAGTCTATTTAAAAATGGTATTTTTTTAATAACAATATTTGTTTGATTTTTTTTTGTCGAAATAATTTGTTCATGCATGAAAAATATCATTTGTACATGCTTTTCTAGCAATTTAACTTAGAACAATTCATACGTTAGTCACTAGACTATGCGGCATTGTAACTGTTGTAAAAATATTGTTGAATTGAATATCCCATAAAGCCTCCACGCGGAATGAATAATAAATACCGTAATGTGTCGCGTACAGGAGATGAAAACGTTGCCCACCCCCCTGTCCGTGATAGCGGCGACCCCCAGGAAAGAGCCAGAGAATAAATTCATCTTCAACCACTACACGAATAAGGTAAACTCATTTAAATTAAAGCTTTCGTTAGACTTCGCTTAAATATATACTTTGGCCAGTTCACAATTAACTGTGTGTTATTTGTCTACGTATCAGACATAGTTAGTGTACAATCCTTTATTATATTTCAGAGTATTGAATGTTTCATTTATCGATTTACTCACAAACTAGCTGTGCCCACAGTTTTGTCCGCGTGAATTAAAGACTTTATGGAGGATTATTGATTACATCGAAGAGAGAATATTTCTTTACTGTCACATTAATGCAAACTTTTATGTGCAAACTAAGTTCAACATTATTTAGCTGAACTCCTCTGTTCTGGTCTACAAAATTAGAAATGGAGTCAAAATAAGGAAGTCTTAGTCACGACAAACAATTGAATAAACATATAAGTTGAACAAAGTTACAATTGTTGTTAGTAATAATGCATTTGTTAGAACTAGCGAGTAACTTGTCAAATTTATCAGGTGCAAGAAAATCCCCAGCTGGTCACCAACGATCTCAAAGCTCCCGTCGCGAAATCTGGTAAGTTCAACTAAGCGATTTACCGCGGCACATTGACAGTAAATAAAATAATTAATCGTCACTAATAAAAATGTGCTCAGACGTTGGATTTACATCATAAAACTCAACATTCACCCCTATTTATAAAGTACCAAGTGTTATTATTGCGTTACACAAACTGATTGGAGCGATAAGGCGTAGTCTACATTACGCGGTCCGTTTATATTCATTATTATTCAGTTAGTGCGCCCCGATATTTTGCCGGCGCGTATGTTTTATGAGTGTAATGCACGCGGCGACGTCCGTAACTCGCCGCTTTTTTTACCCCTCCTCTCGTTTTTTTTTTAAATTTATATCTCTGTTGGCGACAGGTGGTAGCGATGCGACTGAACGATACGGACGGAATACTCCACTTTTGGTTTATTGCACTTGAAGTGTTTCTGCTATAAATTCACATTTTTACATACATAGAACAATTGTTAAAATATCAATATTTATTACCAACGGGTTGTTGTGTGTGAAATGGTGAAAATTTCAGATTTTCCAAACTTTGTTCAAGAAATTCTAGACTTTAAATGGGTGGTAAAAGTGTAGATATTACGTCATAAGAGTCAATAGACAGACAAATGTCCAAAACAAAAAACGGTCTGTTTGTCGACCTGGACTGAGGTATTTGAAAGTAAATTTACTCCCTCGTTTTTTTTCTAATAAAAGGTAATTAGTTAAGATTTTTAAACAAACAAGACTTATCTGAAGCAAAAGCTCATGCAATAAAAATAATGACAAAGCAAGTAGATTCAATCGTTAAAAAAAAATTAACAAACGCAAGTTTGAAGTTAGATACAGCGATTTGTTGTTCACAGTTGGGAATATTATATTATATTTATTATGGAGACTCCAATCTAGATGGTCGTTTGATATCAACTCTATTTGTACCGTCGTAATACTATTACTTTCTTGATTTTTTATATACGATAGTGTTTGCAAAAGATTTACTTGTCTATGCACCTGGACTTAAAGTACTCAGTCGCTTAAAAGAAACCAGCTAAAAATGCTTTCCCCAAAATGTCCATTCCCGAAACCTTCCATCGCTCGAGCCATTGTTTTATACGTTTTCCACTTTTTACCATTTAGCTCGTCGAAAATGTTTGAATAGATCGTCAATCTGGCCTTTTGTTCATTAAACGTCGAACCCTATGTGTTAACGAGAACAATCCTAAATTTATACGGAGCCTTTGTTTTTATTTTAATCATCTGGGTCGCTGAGCGCCCCTTTTTCATTTGAGGTAAAACATCTTTTCGATTATTTTGATTGCCTAATTCTTACATGAAACTGTTTAAAACCCTAGAGATTTAATGGTTTAAAACGCGAAGTATGTAAACTTATTTTTAATTTCTTTTAACTGCGTCCCGACGTTTCGGATGCTTTGAAGCACACGTAGTCACAGGGCGACGTCGTTTCTCCTTTCTAGCACATACTAAAGACAAATTTTAAATCATTTATTTTCTGTTCTTCTTTCTCAACATCGAATATAGGCAGTTCTTGATTAGGATTTAGTTATTTTGTTGCTAGGTCATTTTTATTAAAGGTTTTTTTTAATGCCCTAAGCACCTTTATAAGTACACTTTTAACTGCCTCTTGTAGAAGTAGCGTACTCATAAATCAGTGGATTTCAAGTTAAGGCATCTATTTATTATATAATATAATTATTATCTTGAAATGATTATTCAACACGATACAAGTGGCAATAGTGCGTGTCAGATAAAGTGTTAAACATGCGAGTAGCGTACATTAGAAAATACAAAACCAGTCGTGAAAGTGGCGTGCACTGTGCGAAATATATCAACTTAATTAATATGGTCGTTCGCTGCAGGGCTAAGTTTGTTTTACTTATCATATGGTGAGCTCGTGCGGAAACTATATATTGATATCACTATGCTTTGTTGTCTTTAGTACCTACATTTACTGCACTGTACGTATCTGAATCGTTTCAAATGTAGAAAGCTTAAAAATAATAGTTAAAGCGTAAAAAAAGGGATGTAGTCATGTAATTGGATATATACGCATATCTAGTAATTAGTAAATGTGCTTACATTAATGTTAAATATATAAAAAACAACAAGTTATCCTAGATGTTGTCTGTAGCTCACGCGATTTGTGCGCTTTTAAATAAAACAATTTCAAAGCTTTGAAACGGCCACGGCTGCTGCAAAGCATCCGAAACATCGGGCCGTAAAAGTAGTTTATACAAACCTTATAAATTTCACGTTCAAACCGTTAAAACTGTTTTATTTCAATAAAAATCCTAGCCCAGAAAAACTGGGATTTAGTAAGTCCAATATTCGTGTGTAAACATCGTATGTTCAGAAGTCATATCTAAGTTAACGATCAAAAATACGTGTGTAATTTCCACGCGAATTAAAGGAATAAATTTTACGATAGAGACATTCGTATAGCAATTTATGTCATAGCTGTTTACTTGTTTGACGGAATATGCAATTTTTATTGCGCTGCACGTTTATATCAATTTTATCGGCACATTTTGTTCTCACAATATTAGTATTTCGTATTACACTTTATCTTATATTTTTTATTTGTTCATTTGTTTTGTATGGGATGATAATTGCTAGCTATAAATTGTATTATGTTCGGTGTGGAACAACACCGTGAAAGGGCTATATTCAAATCTTAAAAAATATTAATCTAACATGAGGGAGAAAATTCGAAGAAGAATAACACGATAATTGCCTTATTTATTTTAATGCGTTTTCTTTGCTCATTCGGAGCTATTCTAGAAGCTGACAAATCAAATAGATTTATAAATTACATACTTTAAATTGTCGAACTTATCATCCTATTATGGACACAGTGTAGCATTGAAATTATCGTCGATTTGTAAATACATCACTAACCGAAGCCATAAATATTTGTCCATTTGTAACGACCGCATATTATACATAACGATTGAGCGATCAATAGCGATAGCTCGCTTAATAAACATTTTAATTGGCCCCGTTATGGGAATCGAGTTCGTCTATAAGTTAAGCTATTTATTTTTGATATATTTCAGTAACATAATTGTGATTTTAATAGATAGAAATTAGGAATCGATTTAGGTTGAACAAGTTTTACGACACGGGCGAGACTTGAACCTGCAACCACCAACTGAGTTGAGTGCTAGAAATGGTGCGTTGGAGGTGCCCTTTCTTTAGCTGCTGAAATAACATGCATTTCCGTTTCGTCAGTGGGCCATGGGCCTAATCTAACACGTTTCTATACGTGTGTCACTGATTCCTTAGAGGTTTCATTTTGTGCCCTGTCCGCTCGAAGTAATTTATGATTTGAATGGGACTCGAACCTAGGACAATTGAGAAAGACATACTTTCCTTAACTAATATCTTATATGTACACTAGTAAGTTAACTTTATTTTCAAAAGCTAGTGGATGAAAAAGCCGTGAAGTATTATCACGTTTCGGTTTAAGTGTGGGTCCAAAATAGGTCGACGACACATCTTGTTGAGATGTTTGGCTGGTATATTTTACCAACCATCCAGTCAATACTTGTCTGTCCTCCTCTATCATAAAAAAGTAGATTTTGCATATTGAGGACAAAGCGTAATCGACAAGCATACTTCATACATTTATGTGTACGCGTTTTGAGCATCAGAGCTATAGACTACTATCTATGTGTGTAGACTATATCCTACTTTTAATCTAATCTAAAAAAAACATCCCGCAAAAATATCTCCACAGATTAAATTATTGTGAACTCAGATCCTATTTCTTTTAAAAACGCTCTGATATTGTGTGAAAAATCTCAAATCCGACAACTGCTCGATTCTCATTCGAGCTCGCAGCGTCTTTCTGTATTTATTCAAGGAACTCGCTTATCTTTGCAACTTAACCGACTTTTTGTTTGTTGAAACCGAGTTGAAAACTTGATGTGTGGCTACAAATAAAACTTTAACGTAATTATACCGTTCGTGTAGGTTTCAGTTATCTCTTTCTATTAATGACCTTTTAATTCTGTAGTTAAAGTTGACTGTCGATTCCGGGTTCGACTTCCTTATTTTTTATTTTCAAAATATTTATAATTTACAACTTGTATTGAAGCTTTAAGAGTAAGTTTGTGACTAATTTGCTCCTTCCCGTGTTACATTAAAAGATCGACACTTAAGATGACAAGCTTGTCAGCTAAAACTTATTGTAAGTGTAGGTGTGTGTAAAATAATAAAATAAATCATAATAAGTGTAGGGAAAAAAATGTTCATCGTTAATTTAGTTTATAGTAAAAAATTACATAGTGATTATTGTTCTTTAATAAGTGTATTTCCTCAAAGCTAGTAACAACCTCATTTGAACACTTTAATATTTTTCACATGTTGTTGCAAGACACTACTAATTATGTTTGAAGATAATTAAAACACTAATAAATACATAAATAAAAAAAAACGATGTAACATGGAAAAAAATTACGACACGGGCAGGTCCTGAAGGTCCGGAGTAACAGCACGGAACGGCATGGCCGGCATGCATGCATACGATTAGTGTTGAGGTGGGAACCTCAATCACTTATCGATTTTTACATTAACAAGATAATTTTATTGGGTTCGATTCCTGAGTAATATATTCAAGTCAATGTGCTAAACATTGGTATTTCCATCATGAATATACGGCGACCGAATAACATCGAAATTATGTTTAATAGGTATGCGTTGATTACGTAAACTATTGCGGTTATCCAGAGCTCGCATCCTATTCCTGTCTTGTGACTCTGTACAGGATCAGGGATAATATGACACCATACTATTAAGGTTGTTACACGGAATATACTAAATAATTTGGTAAAATCATTTCGTTATTTAGTATGTACTTAAAAAATGTCTAACCGCCTCTGTAGCCAAATGGTTAACGTATTGCCTAGCATTGCGTTATGCGCGAGAGGTCCCTGGGGTTCGAACCCTGGGGGAACAAAAAAGAAGTTGTTCCGGTCGGGTACGGCGCAGAAGTCTGATCAACT